ATTGCCATCAATCATAAGAGGAGCCTTTACTTACTGTGGTGCTACTGAAGTGCCAACATATATATATAAAGTAAACTTGCTATCAAATGGAGATGTACATGTTCTGGCAGCTTGAGTAGAATCTAGGGTTTTTTCTTTTTTTTATTAACTGACTTCATGACATAGTGCCATGTTATCTATTTTATGTGTTGCAAATAAAAAGAAGTAATGTGGATGGACTATGGGAATCTCAAAGTGAAAAAAAGCCATTTCCTTCTGACACACTATCTCATGTCTTCAGACCCCACAGCGATCTGACAGGCTGATATTTAATCAAGTGCAGTGGAAGTTCTAATCTGAATAACTGCAACCAGTTTTTATTTTGAATACTAATACCTTCCAATTTTACTTAATCCCCAACCGATATACCTTTCCAGAAGGGAGGAGTGGTACTGAAAACAACTATCCTTTTTTAAAAATAGCAGAAGCTTTGTCACTGGCCTCTGGAAGGCTTAGCTGAGCCTGCGGTGCCTAGGAAAGCCCTGTGCTTCAGGACAAGATTTCTACACTGAGCTTGACTGCCGGGGTTTGTGTGGGGACCTGAAGGACATGAGCTGGGAGAGCTCAAACCCCCTTGACCTGTCAGTGTACCTCTGGTGCTCTCAGAAAGGTTTCTGGCTCCTTGGGTCTCCCTGTGTGCAGACCTCATCGCTCTCTGGATACATTTCAGCATCAGGAGAACTTTGTTCACAATTGAATAGTATCAATATTTGCACAGACCATGTTTCCAAGGGCTGTTTTCAAGTGCTGTTAAAGTCAGTGGCAAAGCTTTCTTCCACTTCTGTGGAAACAGAGCTGCTCTTGGAGCAGTCTGAAGAAAAACTGGTAACTGCAGAAAAAGTAAAGTGCTTTCAGGAAAATAAATAAACTGAGAAAGAATAATGTGATTTTTCACTAGTAATCAGGTGCTGGAGAAGACAAACTGGAATCTAAGAAACATAAATTAATTAATATGTGTGGAAATCAATAGAACAAACACCTGCATGGCACTGACAACTGGGCAGGAAAATTTCTACTAGGAGATGTGCAGCCATAAGCACACACTGGGCACCCACACTGGAGGTGCAGAAGAAGCACTTCTCAGGGGTTAAAGGCAAGTTAAAGGGATTTGAACCGGACATGAAGGATTATCAGGGCTAACAGCAGGTGCTCAGAGTCACCCTTTTGTGCTTCACTGTCCCTGTCTGTGATCTGGGAGAGCCAAAAATGAAGCTGAAAGGCCCATGTTCAGCTGCAGACTGCTGTGTGCTGGTTACAGCCCCAGCAGATGCTGGAGATAGGTGGTGATGCCAGGCTGTCCTGCTGGTCTGTGGCTGCACAGCGCACACAGCAGATTTTGAGAGATAGGTGGCAATGCATGCCATCATATCTCTGTTCACATCTAGATTGTTGATCTTGGTGGGTGCTTCATCTTTGAAGCACTATTTCTTCTTTCTGATTGTGCAACAGATGCTAAACAGGATGGCAAAACCTCTCAGAACATCTGAGTCTGGAGGGCTGTGGGGCAGTCCCAGAGGCAAAGGTTTCATCTGCACCTTGAGCTCCAGCCTGCCCTATGGCACAGTGTCTTCTCAGGGATAAGCTCTGCCCTCCCCATCAGGCAACACCGCAACTTGCTCCAAAAATGCTGATGGAGCCCTGTGGTTCTTCACAGAGGTAAAAGGCTCCCATATTACTCCCCCAAAAACGCTGCCCTCACTCCCTGCCCCTGCCTGAGCCATCAGAGCATCTCTGTGGCAACCACTTCCAAAAGAGCACAAGGCATGGGGGCAAAAATGGTGTGCTCCCCTGGGAAAGGTGGCACTTCTGCAACATCCTTCACTGCATTTTGATTTTGCCCTTTCTGTGCTAGTTGTGGCTTTTTGTTTTTGTCCTTGGAGAGGAAATTTTTGGCTTGATATCATCCAGAATTGTTGCTTTGCTTACACTGTCTCCTGTAGCATAAAAATCTGATTCAAGCAACTGAGTTTAATGCAAGCCCCACTCTCTGGCGTATATTCTTGAAACTAGACCACAAGATGTGTTCAGTGATTTGATTAATTTTGCTGCTTTCCTGGCAAGAAGCTGTCTTGGCAGAGGCAGATGGAAGCAGCTGAGGTTTTGCAGATAAAACCACCTGCACACATTGCTGTGTAAAACCCAACTTGCCTTTATGTAACTCCTTTTACACAGTCCTGTCTCAAACCTCTGTATCCACATGGGCAGAGCACAGCTTTGCCAACCCAGAGCTGGTCTCACAGCCTCCTCTGTCACCAGCTGGCAGAAGGAGTGAGATCAGCAATTTCGGTGATTTTTGCCTTCTAGCTTCTGTCCTCCACGCTGGGAGCGGCAGCAGCAGCAACAGCAGCAGCACATTCAGCTTTCCACAGCAAAACAGATAACGCTGAGAGCTACCTGCCACCATCAGCAATTGCCTGCTCTCTATGGCTTTTGTTATTACAGCCTACCCTGTCTCTCTAGCAATCCTCTCTCATAGGACAGGGTGAGCAGAAAGCAGGTTTCCCAGCAGGCTGTACTTAATGCCAAGTCCTCAGGTGGCTGAGAGCAGCCTCGCTATCTGCAGCAGCCCCTGGCCATACTGATTGGCTCAGCTGAGTTTAAAATCTCTATGATTTCAAAGTGAGCATTGGCTTTGGCTCCAGTACCTCTTCCACTCTCATGCCAACAGTGGCTGCAGGAGGTGGCAGCACTGTAGGATGCAAGAGCTTCAGCCTGCTGGTTTGCAGCCAGTCCAGGTACAGCAGCTCCATCTCTGCTAAAACCTGTACTCAGGTTTCCTCCCAGCTCACGACATTGCTGCTGCTCCCAATAGGAGCTGCAACTGGAGATAGGGGACAGGATCCAAACTTTGTTGAACATCTTGGCAAGTAGGAAAAAATGAGAAAGAAAGGAAGCACAAGGTTTTGTGGAAGTTAAATCAAGTCTGGTCTTCCATGGAAAAATTGTGAGAAGTGTTTATTTTCCAGAGATAAATCTGGGGATTTTGTCATTGAAAATGTGGTATTTTTAGCAAAAGTGGCAGTACTTTTTTTTCTTTTTTTTTTTTTTTTTAAACTTTCGAAATTTAGAGGTTTTTTAGCTTACATATATTTTCTGGAAAAGCAAATACTACTTTGTGTTAGAGAAGCTCCAACTTTGTGGCATAGATTTATTACTTTGAACATTTTCATCAGTGTATTTCTGCTTCGTGTCTCATTTTTCTGTTGTTTGACAAAGATTTAGGGCTTTTTACATTCATTTGGTGATGGTGCTAATGTTGGACTAATCTAACTTCACTGTGACATCTAAGTAATACAGTCAATATTTAGCAGTAACCAGAATGAATAACTTTTCTTATATTATTTTTTGAGGACACAGCAGCAGCAGCTCTGTTTCCCAATGCAAGAAGCTCAATCCATTGACCTCAGTGTCATTCAGCCAAATGCTGTGAGAGAGGTTGCTGCAGCAATACAACCTAATATCAGATTAGGACAGTCTGACTTAAAAATCAGACTTCTTTGGAAGATGCAAAACAATTTTTTGCCAAATACTAGAGCATGTTATATAGACATCTTGCTTTGGGCCACAGTGTATAGCCATCACCCATGAAAAAATAGTTTTCCTCATTCTTGAGTTACAGAAGATGAATTTCTGAATTGCAACTCTGGAGTTACTGCTTCTGTGGACACTGATGCCTACTTCATTTAACTGATGAAGAAATCCTGGAAACTCTGACTTTTGCTTTCATTTGCCCCAACTTTTGTGAGACCAGAGACTACAAGTAAGTGAAGCACTGCTTAGTTTGTTGTGGGTTTGATTTTTCCCCCCCAGTTCCCATCTGAGCAACGCTTTTGGAGCTGCAAAGTGTGATGGCACCAGTAAGTGTCCACGTATTGGACTCTGACTTGCAGCTTTGTGTTTCAACAGGTGGCACGTGGAAGCCAAGGGAAAGCCATCCTGACTGAAAGCTGCTGAGCAAGGGATGGGATAGTTGGTATAATTTAGCAGTTGAATTTTTGGGCAGCATGAGTTGTGTGTGTCTGTACATTAAAGTTGTTTTGCCAATGCCCTATGTCACACAAAATGTCTAATTTGGGAGGCTTCATGATCACAGTAATAAGGAACAGTTTTACACTAAAATATCTCTTCACAGAAGTGGTAACTCTCCTTTTTGTAATGATTTAGCTGGTTTTAAAGGATAGCTTCAGAAACCCATAACCACAGAGATAACTAGCTTGATACAGAAGCATATTGACTAACATCTGGCTGCTGGTGCCCAAAGGCTGCAGCACTGCAGTAGTGCTGTATAAATACAACTTAATGAACACTTCTGCTAAGAAGCTGAGAAGGGGGTTCACTATTGCCCTGCAGAAATACCCTACCAGCATTGCCAGAGCCCTTGCTGCCAGGAGCAATGTCTGCATGGCCAGATTCTGCCTGCTGAAAACCTCCCTGAATTCAGACACATGTCCCTGCAGCTGTTGTGGTTGAGCCACACCTTCACCATTTATTTCATGGTCCAGACTTCACTGCATATCACATGCATTTAACCATCCCTTCACCCTGGCAGAAGCAGTTCTCCTGCCTCCCCACACTTGGCTGGTCTTCTGCCACCCCACTGACACACACAGCATTTGTGTGTGTTTTTTCAGCCTGTCTACCGAACATGCACAAGAGGAGAAGATTTGGTAAACAAACTAATACTTTCAGTAGGGGATGACTATTGCCTTGAGACATAATTAACATTTTTCAGCATCATTAAAATTAGACCGTGACTCAGTGTTGTAAGCAACAAAAGTCTTAGTTTATTTGTATAAAGCTAAGAGACATTTGCATAGTGCAAATGAGCCGCACAGAGATGATGGGAGAAATGACAATGGGAGAGCATCTGTGTTGTACCACAGCTGCAGAAGAGGTGTCAGAGCCCGATGGGTACATGCAGAGACAGGAGCAGGTAGCTCCAGGCACTCTGTCATAAAGCAGCCAGATAGGAACCAGGGTCATCAAGCTTTTTTTGGGTGTGCAGCCAAGTAAGAACACTAGCGGCAGAAAATGTGGAGGAGGAAGGTTATGCTGAACTAAAGAAGGTGCAAGGAGTACATGAAAGCTGAGCAATACCCCTGTGCAGATACTGAGTCAGATGGGAATCTGTGAAGAGCTGTGAGGAAACTTTGTCTTGTAGAATAAGGAAACTGCTTGAAAAAGTGTTGTCCAGATGTAGCCATGGCTGTAGCTTCATATACGTACTATATATAACCTGGCCACGGGCAAGAAGTGCTTGTGGTGCTTTTGGCTTTGGTGTGTATTTGGACTTATTTTTTTTTCAAAAGGAAGCTGAAAGCAATTATATCTGTATACACACAACAAATTTGTTGAAGGCTATAAAATTGAGGGAAGCATAGCACATAATACAGAGGATTTTCCTGATGTGATTTTGCTTCTTCCTCTATCCCCTTTTTGTTTGTCACTGTGTTACTCAAAGTAGAGAGCTTTCCAGCACAGTCTGTATCTACAATCACATTGTGCAAGTCCACAAGGTACACACATTACCAGCAGCTCTTTGTAAAAAGAAATACAAGCATTACAAAGCAAGTGAATGTCCAGAGTTTTCATCTTTTTCTTCTGCAACAATCAATGCTTCATTCAGCAACAAACAGCAATAAACCCATTCTGTAATATGTTGCTTGAATGCCAGGAGCCAAATCTGACAGCCCTTTGCTCACAGAGACCATAAGTTTCTCCCTGTTCAAAGGTTTCCCTGGCACCAGGTGGAGAAGAAGGTGAAGTGCTGTCTTGGGAGGACTGTTTTTCTCCAGCAGGCTGCATCAAATATAGTGACATCTCCATGACTTTAATCAGTCAGAACAAATTTGAGCAGCACGGAGGATGAGAGAGGACTCTTTTCACCCTTAGACTCTGGAATTGTGAGTACAACTTGGTAAAGAAGAATTTCAATCAAGCCAGAGGAACTGAGACTGCACAGTGAGGTGATCCCCAATCCCACAGTGCAGCAAAGCAGCTTGGATGTCCCATGGCCACACTGCTCTGCTTGTCATGCAATCATGTGGCTGTAGCAGCTTTACCTCCAAGTGTGTGCTCCACAGCATGCAGCATACAAGGAGGACTGTGAAGTGGCTCAGCCACGTAATATATTAGAAAAAATAATAGATGTCTGTAAAGAAAAAAACCCACAATGTAAAAAATAAACAAACAAACAAACAAAATGAAACTGTCTCCAGGCAATTTACAAGTTACTTTTTTTTTTAAAAAAAGGCCTTCTGATCACTGGCAGGATCCATGATGTTTCATCCATCCTCCTATGTCAGACGTTGCATGAGAACATTGACTGGCCAGATTCATTGTATTTGTATGCAGTCACAGCCATTGGAAGTAATGCCAGTTAAAAAACGTGGTCAGCTCAGCATCTGTCCTGGAAAGTACTTACATGCTACACTAATGCTTGCACAAGAGCTGCACAGAAAGACAACATTGTGCATTTTACAGCCCTGACTCAATTTATAGGAAGGGAAAGTACTTCACTTTACATAGCACATGAAATACTGAAGACCTTTAAAGTATTAGCAGAATTACCTGTGGATCCTGTAATTGGCTCCAGGGCAGATCTTTAACAATAGCAAAAAGTAGAGGCATGCAGGGTTATGCTTTGTTTCAATTTGTGTCTAAAAACTCCTAAAAATTAAATCAGTTTCAGAAAACATCTTCTTAAAGTAGTCCATGTGCCATTTTTCCTGGGGACTCAACTAATTCCCTTTGCAGTTTTCAAGTTCCTGAATCCCCAGGCAACTTGATAGCAACTCTGGTTTACTGTCTTTTTGCAAACTGGTGGACTTTCACTAACCATGGAGGAGCTGCTCTTTAACTACCACTGTTCAAAAGAGATCAGATTCTATTTAACTTGAATTTGTTGCCATATTTCTTGCTTAGGCATTGATAAGAGCTTAACTCTGCGATCAAGAGGGTAACAGATGAGTTCATTAACTTCTATGAGACATGCTGTGATCCTCAGCTGGGACTGCACTGTAATTGTTCTGGATTAACCAGATTTGAAGAGTAAAATCAGGTTGAATTAAATGCAATTTCTGCTGCAGTGGATAATGCTAGCAGCATACTGAGTGCTGAGCTTGGGCTACTTGTCACTGGAATATAGGAGAACTCACTTCCTTGCAGGTATACAGTTGCACTCTGAGCAGGGTGCATGACGGAAGTGGAAACTCCCAGGATACAGGAAAACAAAACAGAAGGATTCAGTGTCCTGCTTGTGTGGGAGAAAAAAAAAGGCACTTCATTCTCACGAAGTTTACTGAATTTTGTAAAAATTGGACATTGTGACATAGGCATCTTCATTGTTTGGTGATCTCATTTCACTATTAGTCAGTGTCTCAGATATGGTGTCATCATTTAGGGGCTCTGGACTGAGCCGACCAGAGGGATCCAGCGGAGGAGTGGAGGAAAGGTTGAAACCACGGTTATGCAGGGGCACCCTGTTGCCATGACACACCTCGTACGTGCTGGAGCTGCAGTTTCCTTTGGTGACCGCAAACTGGCTCATATCCAGGAGGCTGTGCAGGGCTTCAGCTGGCCAGACTCCTCCGTACGTCACAGACAGGTTGAGGTTGCTTTTGTCTGTCATCGCAGGGATCATCTTCAGCTCTGATCCATTCCTGAACTTTTCGGGAAGGCTTGTCTCTGGAGTGGTTGATGACTGCAGAAAATTTTCCAGTTCAGCTTTTGCCCGAATACCATCCACTTTATGGATATGAACATAACCAAAGCTCTCTGGATTAAAGCTTATATCAAAATTCTGTGTGGCAAAGGGAACAGCAAAGTGAGTTAGCAGTGGGCAATAGCTTAAGATAAAAGGTACTTTGATAATTTATTTGACTTTAGAAGGGTATTTATTATTTCTTTAACTCTGAATGTAACACTGAACAGACTTGTTAGTTAGGTTAGCAAAGAATAAACTATCACGGGCCTGAAAACCTCTTTTCCTATTAACCTGGATCTATCTAGTGTCCTGCAGGCAGCTCCACTGAGAGCATTTTATGCTCCACATGGTATGGTGGGAACTGGTGTTTCAGAGATGAGCATCTATTGCATGCCTGCCATTCCACAGGAATGAGTGTGTCTACCCAGGCAGTTTCTTTCAGTTTTACCTCCCTAATTTAGCAGAGAGGGAAGTGAAAGCTTGCCACGACTTCCTGATATGCATTTGGAATCCCTGCACTGGGCAGCACGGTGGGTGGAAGAGTTGTCTTAGACTTTGTATTAAATTAAGACCATGCTAATAATGTACCACCTGGAGAGAATAGCACTGATGATGACTGCAAAAATGAACTAGACATATAGTTTCAAGGCAACAGGTTAATCCTACAATTTACAGTTGGTAGCATTTGTCCATCTGCCTTTTATCTGGCAGAGCAGTTCAGGTACTGCATGGTGTATGAACAATTTTGCTGGCTGTGTAAGGGTAGATGGACATCATCAGAGATGTTTGCAAAGGGTCCCCACCCAGACTCATGATCACAGTTTCATAGAATCACCAAAGCTAGAAGCAGGACCTGGGTTGGGTTACCCAGATCCCTATCAAGCCAAGCCTTGAACATTTTCCCAAAGGAGAGCCTGCCTTGTCTCTGAGCAAACTACAAAATATTTAATTACTCACAAGAAAGATTCTTTTCCTTTATCAAGTTTGTCCTGAAGCAACACATGCTTGTTGACTCTGGTCCTGTCACTATGCAGCCTTGTGGCAAGTGTACCTCCCCCGTCTCTGCACCTACACTTTAGATACTGGAAGGTTGTGAGTAGTATTCCCCACCCTGAACTGCCTTTTTTCCTATATACAAACTTAACTCCTTCAGTTTTTCTTCATGTATTGACTTCCCCAGCCCCCTGTAGCTGCTTTGTGCAAGTCAAAGCTCAGGCACTAGTTGAATTGTCTGTTATTTCCATACCCTTGACTGGCATATGACTGTGCAAATGTGAGCTCCCTTCAATGTAATGCAGAAGTAATTTCTAAAAGATGCCCTAGTTTGTGCAGAAAATGCAGGCACTGTCTCTCATGAGTGTTAGTTTTGCACCCAAGGGTCTATATTCAGGTGGAAATAACGGTGGAAGTACATACATTTTTTGGCTTCCTGCATAGTTGTTCCAGCGTTTTTTTGTGATCAGGAAGGTTTGGCCATACAGCAGGCTTGATCCTGAAGCAGGAATAAAATAGACAAGAAGCAGCAAAAGAGGGGCATGTTGAGATATCAGAGGTTCCTATTGCATAATTTGCATTAATTCTCACAAACCCTTAGGGCTGGCTTGCATTATACAACAGAGAAGTCTCAGAATAAAACAGACAGGAGGAGATGTAAAGGTAACTGAATAGTCATTGTTCTTTTGACTGCACAAACTGTCATGGTCAAAGGAAGACTCTTAGCTACATGCTGGAAAACCAGAAATTACGTGAAGAGCTCATTTGCATCTAGCTGTAACAGGGTTCTACATGGTGAAACCAGTTTCTGCAATTGCAAGAAGATGCTGTGGTTAAAGTGCAAATTTGCTGACGTTTGTCTCTGCATGTTTACCTAAGTCAAAGAATGGCATGTTGTCCCACTCTTTGGCCAGCAAAATTTGCTTCATGTATCTGTACTGTAGCCTTGCCCCACAGGTCTCAGTTTTACTGCCTTGATTAGCAAGGTTCTCACGTTGTGCTGCTAGACACTCAGCTATGATAGGTCCAGAGCATATCGTCCGACTGACAGACAGTTTTGCAGTGATAACTGCCCATGGCAGGAGGACTTGGGACTAGATGATCTTTAAGGTTCATTCTATCCCTTTAACATTCTGTGATTCTATGATATAAATATAACTATACATGTATATGTATATATATTTAATTTTATTTATGTCTGTATATGTGGGTATATATACAGACAGATAAAAACTCCTTTTTAAATGGAAATATCTGGGATTAAAAGGCCTCACCCATTTTTGCTGCAGTTTCACATAAGCAGAACTTCTACCAGAAGTTAAAGAACTGCATGTTCCCAGCAACAGTAAAATGCAAGAACTAGAAATCTCAAGCCACATGTATATTTGAAAATAAAACAGCACTAGGGAGCATTCCCTCTAAGATAAATCCAGTGTCTAAAATGTTTAATTATTAACGTTGGTCTTGGCATGGTTTGGCTGAGTCCAACTAGCACATTCCTAGGTATTCCCTGTGTTTAACTCAGGCATTAGCAGAGCCCAAGTATTGTCCTAAAAAAGCAACTCACACACAGCCACCTCTCTGGACGTGAGTGGAGCTGGATGTCACTGAATGCCATTGAACAGCCCTAGGCCTTCTATCTTGCAAGGAGCTCATCTTCTATGGTTAAACTTACATGTTTCCACTTTAGATTCTAGTTTCATCAGTTTATCTACATATCTATTCATTTTCTCGTAAACTCTAAATGCTATATAACCATACATAGCCATGTTGTTAAAAATATATTTAGTTATCTATCTACGGCTGTGTAGCAAATAAATGAAAAAAAAAAGCCCAATGCAGACAAAGGACTGCTTGGATAATGACCATATCTCCAGTCCCACTTCTGCCATGTCCCACTGCTTTGCTGGAGGATGTGTATCCAGGTTTTGTCACACAGCTGGCTGGATGTGGATCTGGCTGTGCTGGTGGCTGACAGCACCAACCCCTTGTTGCAGAGGGCTCTGCCCTGCTGCTTCTGAAAGTGCTGCAGAGGAAACACC